GGCTTGTTGCATAGATACCTCTAAAGCAGAGTCAGTTTCTCCAGGTTATAGGGAGAACATGGGGAAAAGGAAAAGAATCGACATTTCTGGACAAAACCGCAAGAAATGTTTAAAATCTGACAGTCTCTCCCAATTCATAAGGAGTTTGCTGTGACGCATTTTGTACCTCTCCCTCCAGAGATGTCACCTTGTCTTGGCGAGCTCCAGTCTTAACGAGAAACTTAGGAGATAACAGCTCCAAGGATAAGTTTTTCTCTTTATCGATAGTCAAAAAGAAGATAATACAAGCTGGGCGTGGTGACCCACACCTGCAGTCCCAGCACTCTGGGAGGCTGAGACAGGAGGATCGTAAGTTCAAGCCCAGCTTGGGCAAGTTAGTATCTTAGTATACCCTGTCTCAAAATAAATCAAACGGGAAAAAGCAGTTGGGTGCCAGGCCGGTGCCAGGCCCTGGGTTCAATCCCCAGTACCCGTAAAGCAAGAGACTTACGTGAGCACAATCTTTCAGTGACAAAGTGCAAGGCGCACCCACATGCCCTGCACGGACACACATGCGTGGGATCGCGAGCCCGGCTGTGGGAGGGGCCTCACCTTGACTTGAAACACGAGCTCATTGCCACCCACGCTGAACTGCGATTCAAATAGGATGGTGAATTTCTCCTCCGTCACCGACTCCGCCCCACGCCGGTCTGACCTCTTGATCCGTTTCAGGGACTGTAAAGGGGCAACTGAGCTGCAATGCTGCGACGCCCAGGGGAGCCACGCCCGGGGACGGGACACCTGGGGACCCTCCCCGCCCGCCCGGCGGCCCTCACCATGTTTCGGAAGTGGGCGCTGAGCGTGCCGGTGGCCTGGTGGTACTCCATGACGCAGCAGTTGTTCAGGATCTCGCCGCTGTAGTCGCTGCTGGCCAGAGGGGGAGAGCTGGGGACCCTCGTGGGGGCTCCGCACACGCACGGCAGGGGACACCGGGGCAGGGGACCCCAGAGAGGGCTACTACAGACAGCTCCACTGACAAGAGGCGGCGGCCACATAAGTGAACCATCTGAGCCGCTGTCAATCACAGCCCATGAAGCGCGGACGGGGACGCGGGTTCCCACCTTCCCTGGGCCCCAGGGCACAGGCGACCTACTTGCGGGTGTTCTCGTTCTTCAGCAGGGCCTTGGCCTGCTGCTCGCTGATGATGGTGGCCTTCACCTGCGGCGGGTTCATGTGCACGTTCAGCTTCCCGCCCACCAGCAGCCGCACGGTGGCCGCGAACTTGGTCTGCGTCTTCAGCACCTGCGGGGGCTGCTTCTCGATGATGAAGGTGCTGCGGGGACACGGGGACACGCTGGCCGCCGG